ACCTTACTTTTTCAGAAATGAGGACACCTGTTCTTGTATTTTATCTATAGGAAGTCCCAGAGCACAGACAACAAAATTTGAAGATAATGTGCCTTTTGGAGGAAAATTTCTCATTTATTCTCCGTTTCCGACATTTCGAGTCTACCAAATCTAGAGCCCTGAAAAACGATTTCCGCAGCGGAAACAGGACAGCCGCCTCGAAGGACACACAGTAGCCCGTATGTGTGAGCCTCACGGTCGAATTTCACTGTCAATGTCAGACACAGAATTGAGCGTGTAGTTTCATCAACACACTTTCGCGGTGCATTACCTCCCAACTGAGCTAATAAGAAACAGCAACAGGTCAGTTTTGACAAGGCCTGCCTAAACGCCAAGTTCCTGCGTTCGATATTAACATGGATATCCAATCATTTTTTGAAACCAATTTTCCAAAAAAAAAAAAAAAATAGATGACTGTTGCTATCTTATGATCGTCCATTAGTAAATGTTGACTCCTCGAAAGTAAAAATGTCCACCGATCAGCAAGCCAAAGAGTAGGTAGGGGGTCTCTACTTGCCTTTGATGAAAAATATTGCGGAAAAAAGTATAGCTTGCACCACTAGCACGGTGGATGACGTAGCGACCACTGTTTTTTCGGAAGGTAATACATGGCGAATTATTCCCAAAAGTGAAAATATCCACTTTAAGATGGGAGGGGAGCTATACGAGTCAATAATAGTATTCTGAAGTTCATCTAAAATTGAGGATATTCTCTTTTAGAAATCAGATTCTCATTCAAACTGGACGTAAGATTGGGACGTTGGTTTTTGGGTAGATTTTTACTTTTTTTATTTTATTCTTTGCTGATTAGTTGGATTTAATCATCACAACTACAAATACGATTCTACTCTGAGGAGAATTATCCTGTTAAATGCCGTGACAGGAGTCTTGCTGAATCAACTGGAAATCTTTTATACAAGACAAGGACGTCTCTTTAAAGTAATAGAAAAGAATTTTCTCGTTGTTTCAATGTAAAATTTCTATCACGGCATATTTGACAAGAATTCCTCTTGCCAGAAGAGGAAATTTTACTCGGTGTATGACTACAGTAGCAGACCCGTAGGTCGGTCACTCTACGCTCCGCACTTGGATCTTAAAGTTTCGCTTCAGCATGGTGCTTCCAACTACCTGTCATCATTTCTGTGGACGCTCGTTTCATTTTACGGAGTTTTCGATTGCGCCGAGAAGTTGGCACTCCTCTCTGGTACGTGAAAAGACCTATTTATTGTGCCTGTAGGTGTGATCGTCTCCGATTTTAATGTCTTGATTGTCATCGATGTGTTTAGCCGTGTCGTAGTGACCCCTCATCCTCGTTTGTCGATAGATTCAATGTGTCGTGTTCGTGTGATGTGGATCGATTTGTAAAAATCATTACCTGACTGTAATAGTGTAATGTGCCCTTCACTCTTTCTCTTCCTGTAACGATATATCCTGTAAAAAAATATGTCTTCGTCCGCCCTTTCTTCTTACATCTGTCACTCTGCCGTGATACCGAATAGAGCAGTGTCCATCGAATTTTTGAATTTTGAAATCTGTTTTTTTTTTCTTCTTAATATTTGACTGATTGAAAGTTGAGAAATCGGTTGATCCTACTGATATATAGCGCTCTTTTAAAAAAAAATAAAAAAAAAATCGTCATTTCTTAATATGAAAAAGACCAGCGTATATTGATGTTTGGCACGCATTATCTAAATCCTTCCCGATTTTTGAATATCAGATTTGTTTTTTTACGATACTGGTATAGGTAAACCTGCATGCAACCAGATGATGCCACATACTGCTATTCTGTGTGACATGACGCAAATAATAAATCCTTTTTTTTATAGACGGAGGTATTTTGCCAACTTGTAAAGTTTTTTTTTCTCTCTGAGCGGTTTTCTGATGACCATTGATATTGTGAAGAAAATCAATAAAAAGGACTTATTTAATTTTACTCTTTGTTAAAACACAAAAAATTATATTCCTTAAAAAATTCATTCTGAGGCATACTGCTCTCTTCGGTAAAAGGTGGATCTATCTATGTAAGTACCCAAGTGGCAGAGTTGTGTTTCCCAGATCTGAAAAAATATTCCGAATGAATCATAGAGAGTGCAAAGATTATACTTTGCATTTTACTTCTTTTAGTTTTATATTTCATCTGCTTTTTTCCTGCAACATTTTTCCAGACCTGAGAAAAATATGGGAAACAAAATGATGCTACTTGAGTGTTTGAAATTCATGTATTTACCAATATCTCTATGCCATTGTAAATATTTCATCCAGATGCCCATAATCACAAAATACACGAACTGCAACGGAAATTAACGATTCGGTAACTACACAGAAAATTCAACGCAAAACGACTGTAAATTCCGTGTCCAGGGAAACACATAAAATACAGTTTAAAAGATTCAAAATCACGCTACATCGACGCAAAATGAACACTATACAACACGGCATTACTTCAATTAGCAATCTACGATAACTCTCTCGTTTTTAGAGAACTCGATGGTCACAACAAAACTGAGATCGCATCGCGTATTAGGTACTATATGTCCTTTAAAGCGCCCACGAACATTTTGATGTTTTTCTGTTATGAATAAATTATTGAAATTCTTTGAAATCTTCAAAATCCCCCAATAACTAGATACTCAAATTTCACCATTAATTCTCAATTTTCAATGTATGTGAGATATTATGACTTCTTTTCGCCATACCCCCTATCATCTTTTTGGGGGAGGCTGATAATGTGAAATCGCCTTAAAAAAACGCTTTAAAAATTTATTGTCATCAAAAGGAAACTTTATGTTTATTCACTACCTACCTATTTGGCTTTTTTCCTAAGCAGTGTTTCAGGTTTTTGAAAAAAAAAGTGTTCTCCTAGATAAACCACAATACACCATGATTTGCTATCTACATAACACCATTCCCGGAATTACACCGGGAAACTAGACACAGTATTTTGAGTAGTACTTAAAATGTGTATGTGCTTGGTAGAGACTTAGTAGAACCGATAGAACTAAATTATTAACTTCTCTGCTATTTTCTCCGTTTCTTCCGTGCTTATTTTGCAACATGCCAACAACTATTTTGCCTGATGCCCCGATTCTCTCCGCGGCTAATTTTAATCTGTTTCTTGTGAGATTCGATTGCATGCGTAGACTATAATAAGTTCTATTCCAGAACTTGCATTATTCCATAAATCCATAGAGAAAGCCTCGTAGGTTTAATTCACTTATGCGCAAGAGGCGCAAAAAGAGATGTGTAATTCGCATGTTTTTGAGTATAAGTGCATGATCTTGACTGAAATTTCCATTCTTTTAGACTTTTCACAGGTTAGAAGTTCTTGGATTAAGAAAAAAATTCGTATTCGAAACCAATACATGATAATCCTCTTATCATCAGGTGTGATCGTTAATGTAACTTTACGATGAAGTTGTAAACCCTTAATTTATAATAATCCCGTAACATCATCACCGTAGATTATAAAGTAGTTTTTCTTTATGTTTTTTTTTTTTTAAAAAAAAATAATTGTCTTTGCTTACAAAGACAGTGAGCAAAATTACTGATCAATTTCTGCAGAAGGACGATCACTAAAGTGGCTCACGGGAGATGCCTGCGCCAATGCGCCTTCAACATGTGGAGTATGCAACCGTTTTTTTGTAGATTTGCTCAAAGGGTATTTGCCTTAAACTGCATTCTTCCATAGCAAACTTTGATCAGTTGGTTCTGATTCCAAGTTCACGTGCCCTTCTCTTTAAAAAAAGGGGGGGGGGGGAATAGCGGTTAAATTTTCAAAGCTATTAATTTTGGAGAAGGCACATTGAGATTGTCATTACCTTGTATTGACTATTTGACACAGTTCAACTCTTTTAAATTGAGTGTTTGTCATCTTATTTTTAAACTGTTTTGTAGCGATTATGGTCCGGACTATAGACGCTTAGACATCGGGTGTAATTTCGCAAAACAAGCTCGACGAATGCAAACGGCAGAGTGTGATGAACCAGGACAAATAGTTAGACAGTCTGGATCGAACCTAGAGATCAATAATTTCAAAAATCACGCTAACAACTATTTATCTACTAATCTCTTTGTCCACTAATAAAAATGGAAATTTGTGCTGCCCTGATTCAGACTGATTCAGGTGGATGTCAGCCTGAATCAGTCTGGCATCAGCCTGGATCAGTCTGACATCAGCCTGGATCAGTCTAACTCATGGTAGTTTATGAAACATAGTCTGTCGTTGGGCTGACTCACTTTTACTAGCACTTGGGAAAAAAAACACATTGGATCTAGAGTCCAGACTCTTAAAAACATCGACAAGAAATGATACTCTTGATTCAATCGGATTTTTGCTTAAATCAACCCTGGTGAAATTGGCGATAGGAGCTGCGTTTCAAAATACCATACGAGTTCTTATAGCCGACTGAAAAAGGCGATAGAAAATCATATAGCTGGCTGTAGAAAGTGGAAAAAATTATACGGCCGGGCTACACGAAGCGATAAAAAATTATACAGCCGGGCTATAGTTCCTATCGCCGGGCTTTACACTTTGTCGTCTGGCTGTTGCTTTTTTGCCATCGGCTATAAAAGGCTATAAGAAATTGTGTAGAAATTCGTGTGCTTTGTAAATCCTTAAGTTTGGAAATCTTACAGCCGGCTGTATGTCTATGGTATTTTGGAACACAGACTCTACTGCCAATTTTTACCAGGGAAGAACCAAGCCTCTTAATTTGAGCGGATTTCCTTTTGATTCAAGCAAAAATCTGATTGAATCAAGAGTATTTTTTCTTGTCAATGTTTTCAAGAGTCTGGACTCTAGATCCAATGTGGTTTTTCCAGTGAGGGGCATGTTTAACCAGCCATTGTGACGATTATCCTATTTTTTCCGTGTGGAAGGATTATATTTGCGAGATGTCTAGTGACTTCCCAGGAGCAACTTCAAAGTGATAATCAATATCCTTGCCCTTATCACTTTTCAGATAAATTCATGCCGGACAAACAGGCGCAAGGACAACCACCGGTGATGTACGTGCAAGGACCGCCGCCGCAAGCGCCTCCACAACCCGCGCCGGGGGCCGCAGCTCACACCAACTAACCGACTCACCCCAAACGGAAACCAAGTCTCGTCGAGGAGAAAAGCCTCCACTCTCAGCCCTCGAAGGCTCACTCGTTGAATATTGAGATCTCATAATCGGAGTCGTTTATTCCATCGGATCCATAGGGTGTATAATCGAAAATTTGTTATCAAGTTATTAGTTTTTAAATTTCGTTGTTTTTTTTTTTTTCACAAGAAAATTTCAGCCTCGGATTGTATTTCGAGAACTCCTGGTGCGTACCTCTCGCTTCGATCAGTGGCGAGGCTTGAACGATTGATCGATATTCCCCCATTGGAAGCTATGGTAAAGTATTATCGATTAATAATGTGTTCGTTGCGAACACCCTGTATATCGATCCTTATCCATAGATTGAAATGGTAGATCAATCGATACATCGCAAAACACGCCACGCCACTGGCTTCGATGTACTCCAAAAGTAGTAGGAGCTTAGTGTGAAGCACCTGATTCTTCGTCCTTCTTTACCTATACATATGTGAGGATATCGTATTTTAACTTCCGGCCGCTGTTTCAGAGTCTGGGTGAAATACATTGTTGAGCACCCTCAAAATATTTCACAGAAAGCCCCTATAACTTTAACAGCGAGAGATATAATAAGTACCCTCATTGAGACAGGTATAGGCTCTCCTCAGTGCAAGGGATAGCATTTTTGACATGATTGTTCTCGATTCGAACATTTTGAGACTTACGTCTCAACATTAATAGTATCAGCACAAACGCTGCAAAACGTAATTAATACATTTTAAGAGGATGAATTAAGAAAACAGTACTGAAATCATTTTTTTAAAAATAAAAATTAAAAAAAACACCGTGCCTTGGCTACAAATTTTTGATTGCAAAATTTAAAATGAAATTAATCTTTTGAACAACTACCATTCAAATTCTTTGGCTTTCCATATCTATCATGACGAATCGGTCCAATGAAAGATTAATTGATCAAGTGATCGATTGATGGATATACTACTTGATTGGTGCCACATGACATAACTGATTACAAATGTTCAATTTTCTGGGGCAAAACTGAATAACACTGTTTACAAAGGTTGCTGCGCAACATTTCAAGGAGACTTAAATGTCTATAATTACCATCTTTTTTTCGAAAACTCAAAATAAAAGGCGGTGATTGACCATGAAAAGTATCCAGAAATAAGCATAGAGAGTTTTACGCCCATTAATTCCGTAGGTCAACGACCACCCCCCACCCCCCTCTATATTTCTTCGGCTAATTTAGGAATCTTCTTGACCCTCTTCACATTTTCTCTTTAATTCTATATTTTTAATTTTTGTTTCAATTTACGTGCGCATCCAGAGAACTCGAAACAGAATAAATAATTCGGCTCCTCTTCAGTATTTAACATTGCGCTGTTCTCTGTAGACTGATTCAGACCACGTCACGGAAAGTTATCGTCTTCGCAATAGGAATTAATTTATTTTCATTAGCAACATTAAAATAGGTTATGTCATTGTTATTGTTAATGTTTGAATCCAATTCGACATAATCTGTACCATTAGAGAATTTTCACTGTGAACGCACGTTTGATTCAGTCTACTGGCATTGTGTTGAACATTTTTTTCTATGAACATTGTTTAGAACTATTTTATTTAAAGGCCTTGGCTCAAATCCCGGAAAAGTTAGCGGCCTGCTTTTAAACCAACATCTACAGGTTTACCTCGAGCAGAGGTGCTATAAAAGCTATTAATGTTGAACACTAGTGCGACATATTTGTCAATAGTTTCAACACTTAATGTAATCGTCAGTTGAAAGCCCCATGAAATATAGGTAAACTTGAATTAATTTGAGGTTTTCAGCTGACAATAATATGAGACCTTTGAGCTGAAACCCCTCTGAGAGGCTCGTGTCTAGCTGTAGATATTTTAAATTAAAATACGCAAACTTGATAAAATCCTATTTTGATCTCAGAATCTACACCTATTAGAATTTTTTAAAGGTCAATTAGTCAATGTTATTCAATTTTTGTTTCGTCTCTTTATTTTTTGCTACGTAAATATAGAAAATTCTGGCGAGGATTGGTTAGAAATTAGTAATTCACGCTTAAGGGCGAATGATTCTGTAATACGTTCGGACATACACTTTTTGTACTCAACCCTTTCGGGGTATATAGAGGAAAAATGATGAGTAGCAGATTAAACTTATACTACCGTTCATGGAATATTACAATATAGCTCTGCTGATTTTTGAAGATACTGTCGAATACTTCTGAATAAATGATCCCTAACCACCATTTTTCTAATGACCATACAACAGAGTTTCAACGTTTAGGGACGCAGGTAGATTAAAGTGTTTAAAAAGGTAGCGTGTACTCTTCCCACCAATAACAAGTATTATATTTATACTTCTGTATAAGATATTTTATATCATAGTATGAATATAAATATGTACTTAAAACTATACGTCTGCTTTGTAAAATAAACCTCTCATCAAATCTGTGCTAATATATATACATATGTTTCAAACATTTTGTTTTGGTTTCGTTTCGATCTTCCGTGTAGACCCACCCATTATCAAAATTACTCGGTTTTTTTAACCATTAGATACCCAATATTTTTTTAAAGGCCAAGTCCCAAGTCGGATCAAATTCACTCGTAATTTTACACATTAATTTTGATAGTTTTTGAAGTATTATTTATGTCATTTCTAGGTTTTTTCAAGTTAAAAAATTATTTCTCTTATAAACGTTCAGATTTTTGGTGACGTGCTGGCGCTTGTCAATTTGACCCGGCTTGGGATCTCTATAGCGGGAGTTGTCAAAAAAAAAGAAATCCTTGACACGACGCAACTCTCGCCAATTTGTAGACATTTTTTCTCTAGAATGCTTGAGAGACCTCTAAAATTTCCTTTTTCAAAATGATTATTGATTTGAGCACATCATAGCATATTTTGAGCTAACTTAACCTTTCAAATTTCAAAAATAAAAGACACCTTAACGCGCATCGATGACGGCGCAGGGATATGACTATTCATGCTTGATGGATGTCCGTTTTGCATCTGTTTTGAAGGCACGATGGCGCGAGGCGTGAACTCTTAATGCTCCGCTCTTTGTGGCTAATAAGGTGTCGCTTAGATTCGGGAGAAAAGGTAAAAAACGAGGTCCAATTACGGCTTTTATACCTTTTGCTATGTTGCTCACGTAGCTCTTGAGGCGCCAATAAAAATAAAACAAACGGAACCAACGCAGGATGGAGATGGAGTATGAGGAAGAACGCGCGTTAATGACGGCGCAGAGATACGACTATTCGTGCTTGATGGATGTCCGTATTGCATTTGCAAAATTGAAGGCGCGATGGCGCGCGACGTAAACTCTCAGTGCTCTACTCTATACTAAAAATGAGGTGTCGCTCCGATTCGGGAGAAAGGTTGAATAAAAAACGAGGCCCGAATTCGTCTTTCCTATCTTCGGGTGTGCTGCTGCTAAATTTTTTTCTTATTTGTTCAATATGATGTCTAATTATTTTTATAGACTTTATCTATGGTTTGTATGCACTAGCCCCGTAACTTAACCAGAGCTTCGGAAGAGATAGGAGGGTCAATCTGACCCAACGTGGAATTTCTAGGAGTCATTGGAAAAAAAAAACAAGCAGTGAACTCCAACACAGTGTGTTGATAAGGCGCGTCATTAACTCGCACATATCAACCCCTTTAGTTTTCATTTACAGAGATTTCAAAATAGGCAAACAGCATAAAAAGAGAATTCACGATCCAACACTGCGAGGTCAAAGACGCACCTTGACGAGACCGTGTATTGTGAAAGTAGAAAGCTATTCGATCGAATTTAAGTTTTTTGATCTGCCTCAAGCAAAATCTTATCAGATTCTTGAAGAAAAGTGCTACGGAATAATTTAAGCGAAGAAAGGAAAAATTCTGTCGAACTCCTAGAAGATAAAGTCGATTTAAAGGTATTTTGGGGCTAAAATACCCAAATCACCGGTAGTAAAAATCCCGTTATATTATTGAAAAGAAATTGACTCGATATAAATGCAATTGCATTAAATACGTCTTGATTTTGTTATTTTAAACGTCTTTCCATGCAAAGAAGTTCAACCATGTCGTTGCTTTATTCATTCATGAATTGAAAGTAAGCAATCTACATCCCGAAAATCTACTGATTTGCCGTAAAAAATTGCAGAAACTTGATATACCAGGTCGATGCACCCACTCGTTGAATTTACCAACCAATTTTGTGAGTGCAAATGTGTAAGAATCAATATGCTATAGTCATTTTGGGTGCATTTATTTTTCATGAAACAATAATAATTTCAATCCCGAAAAACCATCAATTTTCCGTATAAAATCGAAAAAATCAAAATATGTCAACTCCCCGACGTGAAAATTAGATTCTACGTATGTAAAATGTAAATACTTATGTATCGATATGCTGAACAGAACTATGTGTGGACAGTCAGAAGCCCGCGGCAACATTAATTCAACAGAAAAACTGTAAAAATTAGATAGGATTTTAGCCGCTTTGCCCGCCTCTCCTCGCTACTTACAACAAACCGTTCTTATACTCATCTCAAAATTTTTCTCAGAGCTTTGGGTTATTATCAGCTTCCATTTAAACTCCGGTTCGATGGCCGAATCGGCTGCCAAAAAAGCAAGCCACTGTTGAGGGGTTCTATGAGAAATTCGTGATATTATCGGCTCTCAGGAAATCACCCCATGGCTAAAATTGGTGGTATAAATGTTTAAGTGCTTAAAATAATCGTATTCAAGAAACTAAGGAATTAAACTATGGAGTCAATTTCTTTTTAATAATATAACGAATTTACTACCGGTGATTTAGCTATTATAGCCCCAGAATACTTTTAAAGCGCCTTTGCGTTCCAGAATCTCGACGGAATTTTTTTTTTTTTTTTTTTTGCTTAAACGATTCAAGAAACATTGTAGTTAAAAATATAAAGATTTTTCGATTTGGACGTATGAAAAATGTTTAACTCGTTCAGGCACACCGTGTATTGTATGGAGTACTGCTGTTATTCGACCGTTGTCTTCAGGTCAAAATTCTTACAAAGAAGCCCCTTGCAAGAGGCAAATTTTTTGTAATTTCTCCCAGTTTTTTCAGCGTTAGGTATATAAATGAATTGTTTGTCAAATTTTGAGGTCAATTATATTTAATTGTAATTTATACTTTCTTTTTTTCCCCTTCATTTTATTTTTCGTATCGAGGAGTCGAGGTTTTGTTGATTTCTTCGGATTTCGATTACTGTAACTTCTCTTCTATTCGGCCGATTTTTATGAATGAGGTCTCTTTTTATTTGTGTTTTAACGGAGAGTAAGGAAAAAATTGCTAAATACATGCGAAACAATTTTTTTTGAAAATTGGATGAATCCTAGCGTGACGGTGAAATGGTTAATGAAGCGTGAGTAATTGGGGTACGGGTATCGGCCGCGTTGGGACCCAAGGCCCATTGTTCTTCGTGACGCCGACGCAGTGATCAGGAGCGTGGGGACGAGAGGGCTTAGTGGACTCCTGTATGAGCCACGTTTAGCAAATGGTCTAATGAGTCTCGAGGCTCATCACAGATTGCACTTACCACTATCCTGGTGGCCCCGGCTATCAGAGCAAGGAGTACCAACTTTTGAAAAGGATAACAGTGTTGTGGAGATATGTCAAAGCAACGTTGTGAACAAAACGGAGTGAGTGAAATTCTCATTCAAGGAGTGCCGAACTGGTCAGCCATCCTCGAATCAGTTCGCTTGCTTCCGCTTATATATGCATATTTTAAATCAGCGCGCCCCATTCTAAGGTTTTTTTAAAAAAAACCAAGAAACGTAGACTCTTGGTATTCATTACACATAAACTAGCGAGCCCCAGAATGAGAAACAAATTTTAATCATTATTATTGACGGATTAGTAAACTTTTTACACGCTTTGGAAAATCTCAGAAGTTCGCGGTAGTCACTTTTCGGTAAGGAACTAGGGGACTCGGTTATTGTATCGAGGGGGGGGTCGAAACGATCGCAAAGGCGGTATACTACGTATACGCGCCAAAAATTCCTGGCATTCCTTTTATTCATTTCTTTTTCAATTTTATGTCTGATTCTTTTTCACGATGTATTCGTATAGACCTATATCTAAAGCTAGTATTTACCGACCCCATAATACACGCAGGGCACTCGTTCTTAGCAAGCCTCGGTTCAATTTGATCTGTCTTAGACATCTAAGCAGTAAAGTTTTAGGTCAATGATTTACGAATTTTGAGGAAAATAACGACCTTGCCTCATGGTGCGAAAGTACAAAATGGTCCTGGAATTTTTCTTCATTTGAAGTTAAAATCTTATGGTTCCAAATTTCACTCAGATGCGTGCCGATGGTAGCAATTGAAAAATACCTTCGTAACTTAGTCTCATTTAATCATTTGTAAATTCTACTTCTCTTCAAATGCTCGCATATCTCGAAAGCGGATTGAGATTTTTCCTTTTATTTCATCGCCGCCGCAGCACAAATTTTATAATCATTGAATTGAAGGCGTGATGGAGCAGTCATGCACGCTTGTAAGTTTGTCAGAGGACAACTAACTGTTGAGTCTTAACTTAACTTTAGTTATATAACTTCGGTCTTCGCTTGTTTCCTGAGAATGACTTTGAAGATCTGATTGAAGATCCGCTCGAAGGCGATTTCACAGGAGATGCGTTCGAGGACGATCTCATTGAGGATGCGGTTGAAGACGACATAAGTAATGAGGATACTTTCGAGGATGACCTAAGCAAGGATAACCCGGAGAAAGATCTCCACCAGCAAGACCTAGTCTTGGTGATACCAACGGTCGGTTCATTACTATAATTTTTCCCCAATTTCTCATTTCCAATTCTAGTTCGCTCTCTGACAACTCCTGGATCTTTGCAGGGCGTGCACCTCAATTCGAATCCACCAATTTTTATCTCGTCATCAGGTGAGTGGTCCGCAAATTTTGACACGAACTTGAGCTGAAAAATATCAAAAGGTGCATCAACCCTAAAAGACAAGATCGAATTTATTTTATCAGAATTTCTATTTTATCACAAAACAATTTTTAACTTTCGAAATGCTCGTGCAGAGATCTTCTTTATAGCATGCCAGACTGCCTACATGAGGAGGGTACCAGCAGGTCGAAATCTGGAGCTCCCGGGCACAATAGGGCCGCCAACCCTCAGACACGGAAAAGTGTAGAAAAATGCCGCTACCATTCTTCAGATTCTAATATCAAACCAAGATGGCCAAAAATGTACATAAATAAGCGTGATTCCGCAAAAATCAGTACCCTCATGCAATAACTGAGTCAAACACGTGCTTTACAAACAACCAGGAGTAACAATATTGAAATGATAAAAAATTCTGGATAATTTGATTTCACAGGTTGGCTGCTCCTTTGATCTCTGAAGGCCCTCACCTAAAAATTACCGATGTGCTCTCTCCCTGTATTACTCTGCCGTGCCAAGGAAGAACGCCGTATTAACATTCGAGAGTTGCCAAATTTCCCGCGATAAACAATGTATTTCCCTTGAAATTCTCAGATATTTTAGATTGAATTGCGCACAAAATTGTCTGAAAATTTGTACAGGAAATTCGGATTATATTGGAGGAAACTTGGCAGCGTCTGAAGGCTCATACGGCGTTTTTCCTTAGCACGGCAGTAATGTACTCTAGCCAGACTCAGCCTAGCGGTTGACGAGTATAACTCTACCAGGTCCAACCGGTTCCTCTGTGCCCCCTCCCCCTCGGAATTCCGCACAATCAAAACGAATAGTGGTTCGGAGAGAAGTGACATTATTTATTTTTCATTTCCTTTTTTTCTGTTTTTTATCGAAATCGAGGAAAAATGCCCGTGTCAAAAGAGTAGCTCTTACCATGAACGGCTCTGAAACGTTTATGCCAATAGATACATGATTCCATGTCTCAAGCTCTGATGCCTGGTTTATTTCAGAACCATCGTGCCAAATTTCTGACGACTGTGCGTCTTCATATTTTTGATCGAGGGGTGTGATTAGGTCTACCTGAAACAGCTGAATCAAGAAAAAAACGATTGTAAACACAAAATAGATAATAAAGATTAAATTTTAATGAATAAAATTAGTCGTGTTGGTTATATCGCCATCGCTCAAACAAAGGAGCTGCTGATTCGTTGTACTTAGACAGAATTTTAAAAGTTTGCAAGTCTTCTTCCCGCTCTCTAATCAGTATTTCTGAATTCATTATCATTAAGTTCCATACTAGGTACTCGACGCCAAAACCTTTCTGTTTTTTCAACTAAAGTCGTGTCAGATTAATACATCGACGCAAATGCCGCGCTGAGTTACGCCCTTAACCCCAATCTCTATTACCATTTGCGCGAGAGAAAATGTTAGAATTGCGAATGTCTGTTGACAGAATATGTTTGAAAACAAACCTTCAAAGACGCTAAACCAGGCTGTATCATCGTGCGACGTAAGTACTTAAAATGGACACATCCGTTTGGTCCACGTTCGGTGTCCAGCGGACTCAAGCCATGGAAATTGACCGTCCAAAGTTCGAATTTTTGTGCCTCGTGAAGGCTTTGTGATAACTTGCTTACAAGGAAACCTTGCTTGTCCCCTGAAAAACACAGTTCATACATATTGCTTTGAGTTTGTCTATGTTATCGATACTATAGAGCTGTGTCGCTTCCTGATTGGTTCTTCTAGGTGTAAAACTCTTCGCCTGTGCTGCCGTGCTAAGGAAGAAAGCCGTATGAACATTAAAGAATTGCCAAATTTCCTACAATAAAATGTTTATTTTTTACAAAAGTTATGAATGTTTTTCCTTTAAATTTTCAGAAACTTAAGGTGAAATGACGAACTAAATTATCTGAAAAATTGAGAAGAAAATATTCATTAATTTACTAGGAAATTCGCGTTTTATCAAACGAAATTTGGCAACGCCTGATGGTTCATACGGCGTGTTTCCTTAGCACGCAGTGTGAGTAAACATGGAGGCTGAGATGCACTCTCAGTTGTTCGGTAAGCCTCGAAAGTTCATGCCACTGCCAGCCCAGAAAACCATCAAGAGCTAATATGAGCACTTGAAAAAGTACTCCAAATACATTATTACCTAAAAAACTCACCATGTATCAATTTCATTAATTTCTCTCTTGGAATAGTCATGTTATCATAGTCCAACATCAATTCCGACAATTTTTTCGTTAGTTTTTCTCCTGAAATGTCTCAGGATGATTTCATTGAAAAATCTCTGTAAGGTTTATTTACAGTCAGGGCCGGATTCACCTACTTGCCGCCCATGGGCCGCCTGTATTTTGCCGCCCCCTCTCATTCGTTTTGGAACATCAATAAAAACCATCAAGTGAACGTACCGGAGGGAAGGGGTGCATAAGACGCGTTTACTCGTGTTGGACACATTTTTTGCGAAAGCCCTGTCAAAACTACTAGTAAAAGTTCTCGAAACTTTGCGCGGAAGTTAGGTTCCGTAAACCTTTCTATGTGTGGACAAGGCCTTTCATTTGTAAGTATTAAACGACAAAATTATGAAAGAACAAACATAAATGCGGCTTAATAATTTTAACTTCCGCCGCCGCGCTGACCGCACTGTATTTGGCGCAATGCGTGAAGTATTCATGCAGTCTTGTAGGCGCTAATATGTGTTACATGCCGACCGCCGCGCCGAGGGCTTCTCCTTTTCATCTCAAGTCTTCGTCATTATTGTTGCTCCCTGCACCGCGCCGTTCCAGGCCAAATTGCGTGTTTGGTTTTTGTCTTAGTTCGACTAACTAAAGGAGCTGTCTCTTATATCCCCGAAAGACGACAAAATTAGAAGTTACTATACCATGAGGAAATGAGAGATTTTGTCGCCTTTTCTCGTTTGTAAGTTTTTTTTTCTGAGTCCGACTTTTTTTAATACCTACATTTAAAAAAATTTAAAATTTGCCGCCCCCCCCCTAAATTTGCCGCCATGGGCCACGGCCCATTTGGCCACCCCCAAAATCCGGCCCTATGTGCAATAATTGCCATCTCATTTGCTCAGGTACATATGTATAGTCATTGAGAGCTAAACGGTCGCCTATTTTACACGACCAAGATTTGTCAAAATACGGCTCATAATAATTATATTATTGTTGTCTAGGAGCATTTTAAAGTTCTTTCATTCACACTCCAAAAAGTAAGTGAGAATAAGCTCATGCGAAACGATGTACTTGCTTCAAACTAAGGAACCACTCACTCTTGAACTTAATGTAAAATTTTGAACTGACCCGGATCTCTCTGCCATTGCCATGTGCCCAACGGCTGCCATTTGAATCCACATGCGCCACGTGTCGTGAAATCACAGAGGACATCGACTGGAAAACTTGGCTTTTGAGTTGATCCTGGAAAAGTTAGAATGATCTTGAAAAACACATTTAGTAGGTACACAATCGTGCTTTGCAAGTGTGCAAAAGAAAATATTCAAATCGCTATTTGCTCTACGTAAATTTACAGCCATGTCGAAATTGCAGAACTTTAGCTGGCCATGAAAATGTATAATGGTTGTCTTTCATGTTCATATTGCTTGAAAATCAATTACCAGCACTTTAAGCACTCTCCAGTTTTAATAATCGCGATGCAAAAATTCAACTGCGTTCCCGGCACAAAGAGGCTTTAAAATAACCCAGAGGAAAATGGGGCCCGAATCAGTGATTCATCTGGCTGCCGCGACAACTTCATCTAATACCAGGCCGTGACATTGCATTGCGCGTTTAAAAAGCAAATGAACCAAATATTCGTTTGAAACAATATTTTAATATTATACTGTTAATCACGCATGAAATGAGCTACTCAGGATTAAGATTCATTTTGTGAAAGACAAATGTGACTTACCGGGACATCGGTAAAGATCGTTGATCATTTGGACATCACCAGCGCTGAGATGATATTTTGGCCAAATTAGCACGCGTCCACATTTCGTTTTATACGCTGGATTGAGGAGTCTCTGAATGGGCTGTTAAATCGTTTTATTTTAAATTTTTATTGTAACCATTTGTAAGGAAAAATTGTCGGCAAAACTACCAAACCACGTACTTCGTTTTCGGTATTTAAAAATCTCCGCTTCGGTTTTAGTTTCTTGAAGGAGAACGAATCAATATTATTCCGTATAGTTTCCACATAGCGACGGTGAAACTACCAAACCACGTATCTCGGTTTGCGACGTCGCAGACTTCCTGTCATACTTTATTTTTTAAATGAAAAACTACTTAACGTTCAGTCTTGAAAATTTCTGTGATTTTTCCTCTTCGTGCGGAGAAAATTCTGTGAAAATTTCAAGGAATGATATTGATTTGGTCTACTTCAAAAAAATAAAATGGGAGCGTAGATTTTTAAGCACCGCAAACGAGATACGTGGTTTGGTAGTTTCACCGTCGATAGAGTTTTCTTCGCACAGAGATGAAAACTCTCGTAAGTTTTCAAGAATTCCCGCATAGTTTTCCATCTAAAAAATCAAATTATTAGTAAGTCTCCAACGTCACAAACTGAGATACGTGGTGTGGTAGTTTCACCGTCGAGATATAAAAAAAATATAAACTTCTAGATTAGCCCGTTCTTTTTCAATAATCAAAACATGGCCTGGGGTTCTTAATATAATGCGAAGATTTTATAAAGTTTTCCATTTAAAAATATTGTATTCTCATTTTTCCCAGTTTTCATTCTAGGGACATTCTGAAAGAATCCCATGATTCTTTGATAAAGGTGGGTGATAATTCTCTCCCTGCCTCTCTAAAGAGCTGACTCTTTTTATACCTCTTTGGTATATACTGCCGTGCTAAGGAAAAACGCCGTATGAACATTCAAGAGTTGCCAAATTGGCTATAGTAAAATGTTTATTTTAAAGGAAAGCTATGGTTATTTTTCCATGAAATTTTAAGGAACTTTGGGTAAAATTGAGAATTACATTATTTGAAAAATTGGAAGAAAAACGTTAATAAGTTGTTTACTCGGAAATTTGTGTTTTATGAATCGAAATTTGGCAACGCCTGATGGTCCATACGGCGTTTTTCCTTCGTACGGCAGTATAACCCTGAGGGATCAGCAAAGCATCCTGCGTAGCGGCTGAGACCAAGGGGAGTGCTTCCCGGTTTTCTCTATGCAATTAACTTGATAAAACAAGGAAAGTGACCAATTACAGCGAACAAAACGAATCTTCAATACTCACATTTCCCTTTGCACCAACATCTGAAGCATACATCATAATTGACTTCGTATCAAAGGGTTTCCCCAGTAGGTTTATTTCATCCGGACTGAGTTTTTTCAGATCTTCCATGCGTTCCTCCGAAAACAAATCAAAACTGTTCATGGTTATAGGTATAATGACACCTTATGATCGTTATTATGTGCTGGAATATGTCCCTATCAGTGCTTTTTCTGGCTCGCACCGAAATGCGCACAGGGTGCGCGTTCGTTAGGCTGCGCGCCGCGACGGTGTAAAATCATAGGTAGACCTTTATCTAAAGCGGTAATTTTTTCGGTTTGAAAATTTTCACTGGTTTTTCATTTCTTAAAAATACTGCTACACTTGCTTGCGCAAAATGTTTGTAAAATATTGTCCACAAACAAATGAGAAAAAGAAAGGATCTTTGTCGGCAAAACGATACGTAAGCCTTCTTTGGATAGTGAATGTGACCAGAGATTTGTAACGTCGTAAATCAAGGATTCGAGGTACGTGGTTTGGTAGTTTCATCTTCGAATTGTTCTCCGTTCCCCTTATTTTTGCAGTCTATGGATGCTTGGAAGGAGGCTAAGTACATCACAGCGCCTGGATGCAACTATTCGTGCTCAGTGGATGCGCGTGTTGCATGAAAAAAATTGAAGGCGCTTTGGTTTTTCTTACTAGCACCGAAATGCGCGCAATACGCATATTTCACTGCGCGCCGCGTTCACGTCACACTCAGGGAATCTTTGAATGGTGAAATGCGACATTTAAGTGCGGGTTGCATGCCTAGCTTCCGAAAAGTACGTTTCAAATGCCCGTGAGATTTCCAGAAAAATTTCACGGAAATATCCAATGCTTCTGTGTTTTTTACATTTAATGCCACCCTTCACCGAGTTGTAAACTGAGATTTTTTAACCCTCTAAAAAACAGAATAATTGTTTCCCGTCCTTCCTCCCAAATTGGTTGATATATTATACTTACCGGTCTGATGTTCTCGGGGAAGACATCCACGTAAAGGTCTCTGTCCGGCCGGGCCAGCTCGTGGAATAAACCTAGGACATGTCCCATCTCGTGCAAGACAACAGATTTCTGCCAGGCACGCCAGTCTATCGACATTGTTTGTGCACCACCTTTTCTCCCGATATGATCGACTCTCCCTCCGCTAAAAACAAAAAGCATTTTAAATGTATGTACAAACATATTATACAAGTCGCTCTTGCACTAGGGTGTTTGGCGACACCAAAACGCCACATGCACCTGTCTTCCCAAAGTTATCAGGCGACTGACACCTCTGGTTTTCTTCATCGAAGCCTCGCTACCCCTTCACAGGACATGTGAAACATACATGTGACATTCAGTAGGTCCTATATGTATTTCAGATGGAATCTTAATGAAGGCCTCTCTGTGTGGTTAAGTAAAGGGGAGGAGGTGCCCCCACAAGCGATATCCTTATTCTCTCCCATGAAACATTTTTGACCGTAGCCCCCCCCCTCTCACCCCCACCCATGGAAATTTTCTGGTTAACTTTCCACTTAATGGGAGACTAGGTACACGTATTAACTAAAGTACCGTATACCATGTGTCCTCCTCAAAATTTTACGAGGTAAACGAATCAAATTTGTGTAATGTAACTTCCATCTGGTCTGTGATAAAAATATTTATCTCCTTCGGTAGTTAATTTCTGGATATTTCGCCGCTTGAATCGTATTCTACGCACAATATTTTGAGGAGAGAACATGCGAATTTTCTCCGGTCCAGACCTTCTCTGGTGGCACTTTGCACTTCTGTGAGTAAAATATTTATTTGATGCGCCCTCATGTGCATATGCTCACACCTAAGTGCACCTGTATGGTAAATCCAGCCTCTGCTGCATTCGATAAATAGATCAAAATCTGTAAATGCGCATTTTTCTCCAAAAATAATTCTGCTTGAGCTTGACTGAATCGTGTAGTTTATGACAGTTGAAAAGACCGTGTATCGTATTCGCACAAGTTCTAACAGTGCGTGCACAGTTGCAAATAATAATTTCTTACTTTTAATTTTAATTACGGTCCTCCTCATAGAAACAAGAACATTCACTGGAAGCTGGTTTTGAAGTGTCAGCATGCCAATTATTGAAATTGATCAACAAAATAATAGACAAAAAAGACAAGAGATATATGGAGGAATCCTATTGGTGGAAGCGCGTGGTTGCAATGGAGAAGGGAGGTAGATAATAGACTAACTAACGGCAACCCCAGAGACCCTATAGTTAATCTGTTTCCCTTTGTCTATGGGAACCACCCATTTCAACCAATGGGATCGCTCCATACTCACTTTGTCTTCTCCGTCTATTGCTTTGTCTATCAATTTCAATAATCAGCCCGCAGGCCGTTTTTCACTCATGCGTGATTTGCTACTTCCATCAGAAAGGGAACTCAAAAAGTTTTAAGTAGAGACTAAAGCACCTACAGAGACGTCATTGAGCCAATCGAAATATGCACGAAATCATGTTCTCCAGTCCACTCTTGGAAACGCACGCATGTTTTTTTCGAATATTCGTGCATCGCTCTCATCAACGTCGAACATCTTGTTGACCAAGGACAGCCTTGAACAAGGAGAAACAACAATTAAGACGAGAATCACTTTGCCGTTACCTTCTTCGTTGCAATTTATCTAGATTTTCTACATCCATCTAGTGCTGTACCTCCCGGAGCGATAAGATTTTTGCTATCACATATTCCGTGGAACCCATTAACGGGGCAGAGTTCATATACGTAATTTTTTGGCATGCAAGCAGTGCAGAGCAGAGTGGATTTCTCAAACATCGCCGCTTCTCTGACGTAAGGGCGTTTCTCAATTTCCACGTGAGCCCTGTTTTACATACACATCCATGCTTTCTGAGGCTCATGCGGAGATCGAGATACACCCTTACGTCAGAGGAGCGACGAAACGTGCACTACCACCCCGCTTCCCATCCAAAAAAAGGCTGAGGGGATTTTTAGAAACTTTGAATAACTGATCATTGCTGTAAGTGCACACTGAATACATTTGGCGAGATATATAATTATGTAAACGCTTTAAGCGTAAGTGACTCAGACCAACTTAATCTTTCAGCTTTGCATCAATCCAGTTCTATTTTTTTCGTCCGAAGGCGCTAATTTTAGCTAGCCTCTCGAACCGGTTTCCAGGGGCGTAGCTAGGAAATTTCTCGGGGGGGGGGGGGCATGGGACCACC